CGCTCTTCCCCGGTCTGTTCATGCTGCTGCCTCTCAGGACATGCGGAAGCTTCGATTTCATCAGGACCCATTGGGATGCCAGGGTGTGCAGTGATGATCTGAGCTCGCACCGAGGAGAGCAGGGAGCGGTGCTTCTGCTTGGCCTTCAGCGCGGCTGTTCGGGATACGTTGACTTTTTTTAGCTTCTGCTGGGTGTTTTTGTAAAGGTAGATACTTCCCGCTGGCGACAGAGAAGGAAGCTTTTCTACTGAGTCGGTGCAAAGTAGAAGATGATCTGGGTGAGCCTGTTCGGTTTTTATTCTGTATTTTAAGATATTTCTGAACATCCGTGTGAGGGAATATCTGTCCTATTTGTCCTCCCCAAGAAAGACTGGTGGAGGAGAAACCCTCCAAACCCGCGCCCTTTCTTGTACTGACACTCATGGTTGCAATTTTTCACTCCTGTGGTTCTCTTTACAGAATCTGGGGTTTTATACAACTGATGATCTGTACAATCACATACTTCCGTGCATTTTGTCCCAAGGTTTTAAAATGTAAACCAGCAATTTCACATGCTTGCCACAGCTTCTGGGGAGGTGGGTTTGTTTGTCCTGGGTTTTAAAGCATCAGGCGTAAAGAGCTGCAAGTGTAAATAAAGAGCTCCTTTTGTAGGATTGTGTGTGCTTTTGCTCGAGAGAAACGTGGGAAACATGCTGGCAACATTGGGAAGCCCAGTGCAGGGGATGAGAAGCGATCCCTGCCTCTGGGAGGATGTATCGGCTTCTGAAGCTAAAGCTCCCAAACCCAGTTTAAAGCTAGGGCTAAGGGGAAAGGCCTCCTCTTCTCACACCTAATGGGGGAAGGAGTGGGTGGATGGGGAGTACCAGCTGGTCTAAATTTCCCCATTCTCCCTTCTGATGAGCGGATCCATCTCTGGGTAAACACGGGCTCTGCGGCTGCAGGAAGCTGAGGGGCAGGTTGAGTTTCCTTCTTCCTGCTCTGCAGGAATTCCAGGATGTGGTGGTTTGTCCCTGCTCGCCCCAGCCGCGGCGGGAGGGGGCGGTAGGACCTTGCTGGATCCTTTGGGAGAGCAGCGGCTGGAGCGGCCAGGGAAGGGCCGGGGCCTGGCCGGTGCCATGTGGGGAGGGGGGCTTTCTGCCAGGTCCCTGGGGTGTCTGTTGGGGCTCACGGCTGCTGCCGGCTGAAAACTGGGGAGTTTGTTGCAGAGCAGAGCTCGTTCTTGCCCTGCTCCTGCTAAGGAGCTCTGGTAGCTGAGCGTGTTTCCGCAGCAGGTGGAGCTGCGGGTCTCCAGGTGGGCTCGGAGCCGCGGCGGGCGGAGATGGGTTGTGAGGGCTCTGCACATGCCTGGGGATGCTGCCGGCTTCCTGCAGGAGCCTCTTCCCTGCCTGGCTGTGCAGGAGGCTCCTCCTGGTGACTGGTGTGTCCCCAGCTGGGAAGGATGGAGCCTGAGCAAGCGCCCCTGGGAAGCTGGTGCCAGAGCGGCGGCCCTGAGGGCCCTGTGGGCTGGCAGGGGACCAGCTGGGCGTGCAGGCTGCAGCCCCCCAAAAGCCACGTCCTCGAGGAGGCCACATTTCCGCAGAGCCACCTCCTGCTCAGCCCTTTTGCCAAGGTAGGTGTGAGGGCCCCTG